AATTAATGACAGAATTTTCATTTTTGGGTGAACTAACCCTTTAACTATAATATGCCAACTTTTTGATTCATTATAACCATTTATTTATTTTTGGCTTTATCCAATGTCCAGATTTCTGAAAATTAGTGCATATTTGCATTAATTAGATAATACCTTGTTTACATATTTAAACATAACATTTCAGAAAACATGCGATACAAATCAATTGTCTTAATATACTATGATTAATAAACTAGAGAAAGTATGGTGATATTTGTGATATCTGTTATTGGCATTATTCACTTGCGGTGGCCTGTTATTTAACTCTATTTTAATTACCAATAACATATTTAGCCATGGCCCAAATTTCACACACAACCCTGTTACTGCTGGACCACTGCGGTGGAACATTTCTTACATTTATGACACCCGAGAAATAACTTGATTTGGCTCAAATCCCTGCTAAGACAATATTCCTACTATCAACTTTATTAGCTTAAAAGAGATCACTGCAAATTGTCTTTATATTTTTCCTATTGATTTTCACTGTACCACTCCTATAAGGTGTTCAAAAACGGTGTCAATGTAGGCATTTATTGTTTTATTAAAGAAATTACAAACAAAACAAAAAAACACTTACATATATACAATGAAAACAGTGAACAATGATCACTTTTAACCAAGACATTAATAAAGCCCTGATTTTAAGCTCAGAAAACAAAATCTCTTTATAAAAGAACAACATTTAAATTTAAAACAAACAAAATACATGCATAGTGAACGGACAATACTGTCACACGGCATCCCAGACCACCAGAGGCCACGTATTTGGTTTATGAGAAATGCTTATTCAGATTTTTGTTTGAATGTTACTCTCAGTCTCACTCCCATTTATAGACCTTCAGCATCTTCTCGGTCAGAGAGGCCAGAAAACTGCTCTGGTTGACCTCAAACGGACAGATGTCCAACACGGGGAGATCCGCAGGCATCTTCTGAAGCAGAGCACCAGTGCCAGCATCCCAGACCTGCAGACCGAGCGGAGAAATCATGGTGAATATGTGCGCATAACTAACACGACCAGCATCAAACTGCTTACACAAGCATTTACTTCCATGTGCAACGCATAACCAAATGAAACAAGATACTGAATGAGAAAAAAAAAAAAAGAGCGT